CCCAGTATAAACACCTAGTGAACAATATCATGTCAACATGGCACCAAATACTTCGGTGATGGCACAAATGTGCTTGCGCATATATATATATGTATATATATATATATATATATATATATATATATATATATATATATATATATATATGTGTGTGTGTGTGTGTGTGTGTGTATGCATATATGTATATACATATGAGAGTTCTAAATAGCCATTCCAATAACATTGAAAACGATGTTATATTCCATTTTGTAAACACTGTAGTCAAGACTTCGAGATGGTAACATCTGTATGTGAATAAGAGGAAAATATATTCACATTCTATATTATGTTTATTTATGTTTTAGATATTAACACGAACATAACAAAATATACACGACATAAATTCTCAAAAGAACCAAAATTACATTAGGGTCCGGAATATAGACTAGACGGCGTAGAAAGGGAGGTATCTCTTTGATGACCATACTGATCATCAGAATCAACTACGCCTGCCTGAAAACCAGAATCAAATCCTGTACCCTCAAAGCCAGTGTCTGAATACGATGACCTTTCGCCACCAAATTCATCGTTAATTCCAAATCCCACTGAACCTTCACTTCCTCTGGCATTACTCCCAGATTCACTGTCACTTCCACTGGTGCTTCCGATTAAAGTATTCCCTCCTGATCCTGAGCTTCCAACTTTACCGCCAAATCCATCGCCTGTTACACTGGCTCCTCCGAAGGCCTGACCGCCAGCTTCAGTGGCAACGCTAAGTGCAGTCTCTAGATCAACACCAATAGGAAGAGTTGGATTTTCGCCGTCTCCATAGGTAACGAAGTAAACCTCTGGGTTAGAAGGAGGAGGAGCTGTCACCTCGATCACTCGCTGACCTCCGCTTCCACCGCTTTTGTTGAGGACATAAATGATGTTCTCCTGCCTTGGAGGAGGAACAATAACGGGCTCGGTACCTACTTCTCCTTTAGGAAGGCGCACAAAGATAATATTATGGTCTACTTTCGGTGGAGGGAAGCTTGGAAATGTACCACCAGCTTCTTCTGTTTGCTTGGGAGCATCGTAAAGGAATATATTCCTTGTTATGACTGGAACGACACATGTGCCATCCACGTGAAGAATCTCTCCTACTTTACATCCTCCTACTGCAGATGTTCCACCATCATTTCCGTGTCCAGAAGAACTACTTCCACTTATAAATCCGGAAGAGGATCCATCAAGAAGTAATCCAGGTCCTGAAGGTGTTGGAAGATTATATCCTTGAGGCGTTGCATGAGACGCTAAGATGACTGTAAAGAACAAAACCTGAAAGAATAACAAAAGACCTTGAAAACATTTTTTTGAAATGTTTTACACCTAATGATGGTATTGGGAATGGTGAGTATACATACGTTGTCTGTGAATGTGTCTTATATATTGAAATATATTATACATCACGTTTAAACACTGGAAAATTGATCCAGCTATCGAGTTCTCAAAAAGATGCCCACCAGAAGCCCCATTTTGGATGATACTGGCAGCCTATATCAGCTGTCATCTTATATAGCAATATTCGTAGCCTAAATAAACTCCTTTCTTTTGCTCTGCTGACCTAGTTTACATGTTATATCACAGGGAATGTCAAAATGCGAAAGTGGACGAATCAGAATCAGAACTATGAAATAAAAAGGAATAAAAACTCATGTACTTTAATTTTTTTTCAACAAATTATTCGTCATCGAAATAAAGACATTGCCTAACATGCCAGAGACACAAACACACATACATGCATGTACACGTATATGTGTGTATCTATCTATCTTTCTATCTCTCTCTATATATGCATATACACATGTAGAAATATATACATAAATATATATATATATATATATATATATATATATATATATATATATATATATGTATGTATATTTGCATATTTTGGGGAAGTCAAACCTAGATACGGTAATGGGAGAGTCTATCGGAAATATGATGGAGGACTGAGAATCACCAACATCAATTACTTAACCAATTATTACCCTGGGAAGGATCATGGTTCAACCAACCCAGTATAAAGACCCAGTTATCTACATGATGTCAACATGGCGCTAAGCAGTTATATATATATATATATATATATATATATATATATATATATATATATATGAACATGAATCTATATCTATCTATCTATCAATCTTTTATATGAACTGACCTATCAAGTCATATCGGTGATGAGACGTATGACGATCCATTCGTGCTTTGTGTGTGTGCTTGTGTGTGTATGTGTGTGTGATTGTATGTGTGTATGTACATTAATATATATATATATATATATATATATATATATATATATATATATGTATGTATGTATTAGTGTGTGTTTAATTCTAAATTAGTAATCTGCTGTTTATTTTTTTACTTTTTTTTTTATAATTATTTCTTCATATCCAACTAGTTTCACAGTTTTGTGAATTAAAATGTTCACCTCAAATTGGAATCATTACAGCTGCCAGTGATATATGTG